ACAAAAAAATCTCATAATGTTTTAAGTAAATTTACAGTTTTGTGTTGGGCCACATTCATAGCCATCCTGGGCCACGTGTGGCCCATGGGTAGGATATCCCTACCAGATCTACATCCAAAGAAATTGGACCCAAGGAAGCACACACCAAGACACATCATAATTACATTACTCAAGATTAAAGATAAGGAGAGAATCTCAAAAGCAGCAAGAGGAAAGGAGAGAGTTATCTACAAAGGAGTTTCCATAAGACTATCAGCTGATTTCTCAAAAGAAACCTTGCAAGCAAGAAAGGGCTGGAAAGAAGTATTCAAAGTCATAAAAGGCAAGGACCTGCACCCAAGATTACTCCATCCAGCAAAACTATCCTTTAGAATGGAAGGGCATATTAAAGTGCTTCCCAGATAAGGTCAAGTTAAAGGAGTTCATCATCACCAAGCCCTTATTATATGAAATATTAATGGGACTTATTTAAGAAAAAGAAGATCAAAAACTATGAACAGTAAAATGACAACAAACTCACAACTATCAACAACTGAACCTAAGAAACAAAAACTAAGCAAACAGCTAGAACAAGAACAGAATCACAGAAATGGAGATCACATGGAGGGTTTTCAGTGGGGAGGGAGAGGGGAAGAATGGAGGGAAAAGGTACAGAGAATAAGAAATATAATTAGTAAACACAAAATAGACAAGGGGAGGTTAAGAAGAGTATAGGGAATGGAGAAGCCAAAGAACTTATATGTACAACCCATGGACATGAACTAAGGGAGGTGGGGATTGCTGGAGGGAGGGGGTGTGCAGGGTGGAAGTAGATAAAAGGGAGAAAAAAATGGGACAACTTTAATAGTATAATCAATAAAATATACTTGAAAAAAGATCACTGGTAAAGGTAACTGCAAGGTAAATATAAAAGCTAGTATTATTGCATTTTAGGTTTGTAACTCTTTTTTGTTATATGATTTAAAAGACAGATGCATAAAACAATAGTTATAAATTTATCTTAATATATACCCAACATGTAGAGATGAATTTGTAGCAAAAACATAAAGGGTGGGTGGGTGTGTGTGTGTGTGTGTGTGTGTGTGTGTGTGTGTGTACAGAAATAGGTAGGAGAAATTTATGTATGCTATTGAAGCTAAGATGGTATCCACTCAACCTAGACTGTTTCTTCTTAAGAGTACTTTGGTAATTTATGTCTTTCCATGTATTCTCCATTTCAACTAAGTTGTTGAATTTATTGGCATATGATTGTTACTAATATTTCCTTTTTATTCTTTTATTATCTGTAGAATCTATTGTGATATTGTCTCATTCCTGATTTTGGTGATTGGTATTTCCTTTCTTCCTGGTCAAACTGGCTAGAGGTTTATGACTTTTGTTGAACTTCTCAAGAAGCAGCTTTCAGTTTCACTGATATTTCTCTATTTTTCTGTTCTCTATCTCATGGATTTCTGCAAGGATCTTTATTTTCTTCTTCACACTTTGGTTTCGGGTAGAAACTGTGATCATTGACTTCTTTTTTTTTTAATAGGCATTTAGTGCTATAAAATTCTCTAATAGAGGTGTCCCACAAATTGGTATGTTTGTTCTCATTTTTATTCAGTTCAAAATATTTCGTAATTTTTCTTTGACTTAGAGGTGTGTTATTCATTTTCCAAATACAGTATATGGGGATTTTCCAAGGACCTTCCTGTTAATAATTTCTGATATAATTCCACTGTGATCAGAGCATACTTTGCAGGAACTTGAATCCTTTTTTAACTTATTTATAAAAATATTTTAAAATTTAGAGAGAGGGGAAGGGAGAGGAAAAAAAGAGGCAGAAAAACATCAGTGTGTGAGAGATACATATATCAGTTACCTCTCGCACGCCCCCAACTGGAGATCTGGCCTGCAACCCAGGCATGTGCCCTGACTGGGAAATAAACCAGTGATCCTTTGGTTTGCTGGCTGGCACTCAATCTATGAGCCACATCAGACAGGGATGAACAGACCTTCTTTATCCCTACTATTATTCTTTGCTCTGAAATCAACTTTACCTGTTATTATTATAGCCTTCCCAGATTCCTTTTGGAGTATCTTTTTGTTTTTACCGTATTTAAATTTTTTTTAAAGATTTTATTTATTTATTTTCAGAGAGAGGGGAAGGGAGGGAGAGAGGGAAAGAAACATCAGTGTGTGATTGCCTCTCAAGTGCCCCCCTCCCCCCACTGGAGATCCACCCTACAACCTAGGCATGTGCCCTACCCTGGGAATTGAACTGGCGACCCTCTGGTTCCCAGGCTGGCGCTCAGTCCACTGAGCCACATCAACCAGGGCTGAATATTTATATTAAAGTACATTTCTTACAGGCAGCATACAATTGGGTCTTGGTTTTTTTATCCATTCTGACATCTCAGCCTTCTAATTAGGTTGTTCAGTCTCAACTTTAGACCATTTACCTTTAAAGGGATTTTGATATAATTAGATTTCAGTTTATCATCCTTTGTTTTTTAGTTCTCTCATCTGTTCTTTGTTCCCTTTTTCTTCTTTTTCTGCCTTCTTTGGGATTACTTGAATATTTTTCTTATTCCATTTTATCTCTTGTTGCCTTATTAATTGTAACTGTTATTTTACTAGTTGTTTTAGGGTTTATAATATACATCTTTAACTTACCACAGTCCACCTCATCACAGGAACTAACCAAGCCTCACATGCAGCCCTGGAGCAGCTGCCAGTGCAGCGCCATCCAGGAAGAAAGACCCAGCTGTCATCCTATTTGGCCCTACCCTTGCTGATCATGCCAAGAGCCATGGAAGTCATCATACTGCTCAGATCCTGAGTTTACTCATTTTTGAATTGGGGTTGCCCCACTTGCCCTTCCTAGCTCAGAACGGTGTTCTGTCCTAGGAGTAAGGGAAGTAAAAACATGCTAAGTCTCTGACAGAGATCCCAAACCTTTCTACACACTGGCCTAGGCAATGTGACCACTAGGCCTGCTCCTTGGACAATTAAGCCCCCAAGATACATGATTGGAATCCCTGAGAATGGGGACAAAAGTTGGGCGTGTGGGCAGCCAAGGGGGCCTGGGTTGTAAAACCTATCAGCTGAGTCAGAAGACTTCGGGGTTGAGAATAACTACCAGGGCTTCTAGGACTTTGACAAAACCTCAGGTCTTTGGCCTTCCAGCCAATTGCCTGCAATTTCATATTGTTGGAGCAATCATTGTATCCCCGGGGGTTGCAGCTTTCTATTAGTTTGCTGTGGCTGAAGCAAGAAAGAGGGCATATGAAGATTTCTGCAGAAATTATGATTCCATGAAAGATTTTGAGATGAAAGAGGCTGGTATCTTTCAGAGTGCAAAGTGATTTTGGAATGTAAAAAATTTCTTTGGGTTGAATTCCATGGAAATTTGTCACTGATCTGTGTTCCTGAACTGTGAAAGATGGGTATTTGGGCTATGAAATAGTCTCTCTTGATAAATAACTAAAAAATACTATAGAAAAATGAAACCTATCATTTGATCCCCACTTCCTCACAAAGGACTTGCCTGGGGTGGTGGCCTTCTGCCTCTGCTGTCAGCTCTGATAGAAGCTTTGGATGGGTGGTCTCCCTATTCTTCAAACTCAAAAGGTTGAGATCACCAGGATGTCTACCTGGGACCTCCAGACCCAGACGTTTCTGATTACTTTCCCTTTACCTGATTCCCCACCACAGTCAGAGGGTGGTGTCTGGGGGCAAGAGACCAAAGTTCCCACCTGCTCCCTGGTTCCCAGTTGAGTCATCTCTGCACCAGACCTGCCCTCATCTAACCTTCCCTGGAAGCGCTGAGGAAACAGGTGAGGTCAGACCAAATGGCTCAACTATGTCCATGCCATTGGCTGCGTCTGGCAAAAACAGGGTGACCCAGGCCAGCCCTTTATCTTCAATAGCATCCGAGGACTCAGGAGGACCTCAGCCTAGAGCAGCTGCCACAACCTTTACATTCTTAGGTGGTATCTATCACCTACCAGTCATGAGTTTTTCCAACTGCCTGTGATTGGGGAAGAGGGGATGTCTGGTAAAAAAAACCACACACATACACTTCAGGTAACTGTAGGCACATCTAAAGTTCCAAGAAATGTATAGAGATCTCCTTGTACACTTTGCCTAGTTTCTCCCAATAACTTCTGCAAAATTGTAGTATGACAACCAGTATACCGACATTGATAACATTCACCATTCTTATTCAGATTTGTTCAATAAGTGTGTGACATTTCAAATCAGGCCACGAAAGCTTTGACCCAAGCTTACCTATTTAGCAAGTGCCTGTAACACAGGAGATTTCACCCCGCTGCTCTATCTGTGCCCCCACCCCCAAAGAAGTTAACGGGGAATTTAACATCCGGGGCACGCAGTGTGCTAGCCTTCTTAATCCTGTTACCGGTTCGTCCTCACAACAGCGTGTTAAACCTGAGGCGCGGAGAGTGTGGGTGGGCCCTTGGCTGGTCAGGCGCTAACCCAGCCTGCCTGTTCTATCCTCTGCTCCCGACCTGGAGGCGTGGAGGATGCAACACACTAATGGGAGCCTTGTGGGTCCGGGGCAAGGTTCTGCCTGAGAAGCGTGCCGCTAGTCGCCACAGGCCTGTACTAAACGTTCGAGTGTGGCTTGGCTCCATACCTGGGCTCCAACCGGAGGGGAAGCGATGAGATCCACTAGCCGTATCCCGTAATCTGAGTCTAAAGGGTGAGGGCTTTGCTGGGGTCCGCCCCGGGGCACGCCGGGAAACCGCGCGCCCAGCCCCCGCCCCCGCCCTTGCCCCCACCCCAGCCCACGCGCTCTCCTACCCCCGCTGCGCAGCCCTCGGCTGCCCCCTGTCGCCACGGAGTGGACCCTACAACCCGGGCCATTCCCCCTCCTTCACACCGTGGGATTGGCAGCTCCAGAAGTCTCCGGGCCGGTCGTCTTCCGCCACCGGATTGGCTGAGCCCCGGAGCTGAGGCTCCACCTATTTCCCCGGGTCCTTTGATCACGCGCTTCCAGGCTCTTCCGGGGCCCCGGAGCCGTCGGAGGGCGTTCCTGTTCGGGCTGCAGCGGCGGGAGGTAAGGCATGGCCGGGTTGCATGGGCTGCAGAGTGCTGGCACGGGTCCACGCCTCCAGGTGCCGGGGTTGCAGGATGCCGGGGCCCCTCTGCGCTACCCTCAAGCCTCTCTCCCACGGCCTGAGCCTCCCAGAGACTCCCAGAGCCTCCCAGAGCCCTGGGAACTACCTCCCGCTCGCCCTTGCTAGTCCGCATCCTAGGGTCGGCTTGACATCCTCCCCACCTCGACATGTATTCTCGACCATGGGACGGTGTGCGTGCGACTAGGCAAGCCCGGTGACCCCGCGAACACCGGCACAGGTAGCTCACGCCTTGCCCTAGGATGGAAACCAGGCGACTCGGGGTCAGGGACCGTTGGGGATCTTCGTGCAGCCTCCCATGGAGAGTATTCTTGCATCTGTCGATGGGAACTGACCCTCTCCGCCGGTCAGCCCAGGCCAACAGGGGAGGGACGTGGGCGGAGCCCTGGGTGTGGACCAGAGAAGGAGGTGACCTCACTTCGCAGATGCAGTCCGGCCCGAACCACTTGTAACCATCCAGGCAAGAGACAGATGGGCGACAGGATGGCCAGGCCATAGGTCTGGACTGACACCAGGGACGAGAGCACATAGGACCTACAGCCTGAAGTGTGGGGACTGGATCAGGACTGGGGCAGTCTCCTTTAAATGCACCTACCTCACCCCGTAGGCCACAGTGCTGGATCCTCATATTTTTACCTAATCTCCCCATTTTGCTTCACTGGATAGGCGCTGGCAGCCTAGTGCCCGAGGAGGTCGTTTGCAGAAGCTGGGAACCTATATCTAGCCTTTCCCAGGTGTTGAGCTCTGCAAATGTTTGGCCAGCACTTGAGGTGGGCCCCACCCTGATTTGGGGATAGGAGCCAGGCAGAACTCAGGCCCTGGGTCGGGCCCTCCTCCAGGTGCCCTTTATAGCCAGGATTTGCTGGGTTAAGTTGCAGGGTTAGCACGCTGACCAGGAGGATTTCTCGTCCCAGTTCTTGACCTAAGTTTTCATGCATCACCAGCTCTTGGGGAGGGATCCAGAGCCTGGATGTCACTCTGGGAAAAAATGATAACCTCTCTTCCTCCTCCCCAGGGAGCCCAGTGGAGGCGCCCTCCCGAGGCACTCCTGCCCATGCTGACTGCCCAGCCCTCCAGCTGCTGATGTCATGAGTAACACCACAGTGCCCAATGCCCCCCAGGCCAACAGTGACTCCATGGTGGGCTATGTGTTGGGGCCCTTCTTCCTCATCACCCTGGTCGGGGTGGTGGTGGCTGTGGTAAGGAGCCCCCACATTCACACACATACACCCACACCTTGGCTTAAACAGGGCTGGGTGGGCACGGTCCAGCCTACACACAGCCTCTCAAGCTGTCCTGCTGTGAGTGGCATGGAAGTGGGTGGGCTGTCCTGGGCTCCCAGCCTCCACAGTGCTGTCTCTTTTACAGGTAATGTATGTCCAGAAGAAAAAGCGGTGAGTGTCCTTGGCCCCCAGTGTTACCTCCCCCATATTTGGCTTAAGTATCTTCTCACAGCATCCAAGATCTCTGCATATATGTAAGCTGCCCCTCAGCCATCCAGATACAAGCCTGAAATCCCCTGCATCCCTTTGGTAGGCTTTCTTGCCCAGGCTCAGCTTACCCCCTGGGGGAGTAGAGACAAGACAGGAGGGCGTGGGCCCCTTGAGCTGAACCCCTCCTCTGCTCCCCAGGGTGGACCGGCTTCGCCATCACCTGCTCCCCATGTATAGTTACGACCCCGCTGAGGAGCTACACGAGGCTGAGCAGGAGCTACTCTCTGACATAGCAGACCCGAAGGTGAGCACTCACGACGGAGAGGGCAGTCTGCTGTTTTCACCCATATTCACCCCTCACACCAGAGCCTAGTTCTGCCCTCAGCCCTCCCATTTGGGCCTGGCGTAGTGAGGTCCCTTCTGCGAGGCTGTGCAGTCTCCTCCCCCACAGGTGGTGCATGGCTGGCAGAGTGGCTACCAGCACAAGCGGATGCCCTTGCTGGATGTCAAGACCTGATGCCCTTTCCCTGATCTTCAGAACCGTGGGGTCCTGGAGCGTCCAGGGCTGTGGCCTGCTCTCCCCCCTCCCACTTGCTCTTCCCCACCCCTCACCCCCCACCCCCATCACCTCACTGCCCCCTAGGCCTTTTAAGTCCTTTGTGGGCTATGCCTGTTGTCCATCCGAGGCATAAAGGGAGACTTCTTTTGGGGTAACTGGGGGGCAGGGAGCTTTGCTTTCTGTGGGGCCCACTTTCCTTTAGCCCTCCCTGACCTGGCTTTTGGAGTTTACGTGGCAGCAAGGCCTGATGTATAGTATTCAGTATATATATTTTGTAAATAAAATGTTTTGTGGTTAGGGATGTGATTTCTTCACGAGGGACTACAGTGATTCTCCTGGATCTGACTCATGCTTTCTCCTCCCTCCTGAAGCTTGAAGAGCTGGGCTGGGAGCCTCCAAAGCCACCCCCACCACCCACATCCTTGGTTTCCACCTTTACCTGCTTCAGGCACCCACCACACAGAAAGTCTCCAGTCCAGAAAAGGATTTTTTTTTTTTTATTCAAGTAACTGCAAATAGGAAACCAGAGGGGGGGCCCCAGGCTGGGACAAATAACGCTACCTCCTCCCCGGGACAGGGGAGAGAAGGTGGCCCTACACTCTCGGCCATCAACACAGGCCTCACTCTGCTGCAGCATCCTAGGGGCAGAGCCCCACCTTCCCTGGGACTGGGGTAGTTGGTTCCCAGCCTGCTTTGCCCCTGGCCCCTTCCCAAGAGCATCTTGGAGGGGAGTGTGGGCAGAACAGGAGGCAGTGAGGATGAACATTTGGCGCTGGTAGCAGCAGCAATGACAGATGTCTAAGAATGAAACGTTGAACAAAAACAACACAACTGTCCAGAGGTAGTTTGTGAACAGAGGAAAGATGGAACCAGAACCTTGGGGGGTGGGGTGGAGCAGGGGGTGGGAGTGGGCAAGGTTAGCTCCTTGTTAGTGCCCCATGTGAGGAAAGAGGAAACTCAGAGGCTTTCAGTGGAAGCAGCCAGGTAGGGGGCTCACGCCCCTCCTGCCTTCCTGCCTTCCTTCCTGTGCCCCAGGGGGACCTGTCCAACCTAGTGCTGGGACTAGGCAAGGCAGGAAGAAAGGAGAGTGGGCATCTTGGGGCCAGACAGCCCTATCCATGGCCACATGTGCTGCTGCCGCCAGTACAGTGGATTGAGCGTGTCAAAGAGAGATGGGGCTCAGGCCCCTTTAAGGCCAGAGGAGCCCTCCCAGGCTCCCTAATGGGAAGCCAGAGGTAAGAGTGGGGAAGGGACCCCCCAAAACCAGGAGCCCAGTCAGCAATGACCCTGCCACCAAGGGAGCAGGGATGCAACAGGCGCAGGGTGCAGCTAAGTGGGAAGTCAGCTTTGTCCAGAAGGGCAAGTGAATGCACGTGAGTGGGTAAAGGGTTGCTGGGAATCAAGACTGAAGGAAAACTGCTCCCCACTCGGGCCACCGGGGCCCTGCAGCGGCTGGTGCACTTGTAGTGTGGTGGTGCGGGCAGCGCAGATGGGTGGGCACAGGTGGGTGGAGGTGACTGGGGGTCTGGAGGAAGGGGCGGGGGCAGTGGGAGCGGGGCTGTCCAGTCCCAGAAGGAAACTGCTCCTCCGTGAGGAAGCGGGTGGCACGGCAGTCACTGCTCCTCCTCTGAGGACTCCTGCGAGATGCCCTCTTCTTCCTCCTTCTCCTGTGAGGTGAGGTGGGCAGGGCCATCAGTAGTGCCAAGCCCAGCCCTCCTCCTCCACCCCCAGCCATGATGGAGGGAGCACAGGCCTGCTGCCCCCACCCCTCCCTGCCTCCCCAGAAGGAGGATGAGTCAGGGCTGAGTGTGTGGGTGACTCAGCAACCTCCACAGCCCAGTTTCATTCATAAAAAAGGAAGAATTTAAAGGGAGGGAAAAAAACCACACATGCTGCTCTCACAGAACCATCCTCTCTGCCCCAGGGCCCACGGTGGGGGGACTGGGCAGAATGCACTGTAGCAGCAGGGAGTGAGGAGGTGGGGGGAGTGGGAAGCAGCAACCAGGGAAAGGAAATGGGAAAGGGTGGCTAGAGGGTGCCCAGGCACCAGGCGACCTTGGTGCACAGGGGCAGCTGCTGAGACACAGGCTGACCCCGGGCCAGGGTGGGGAGGAAGGGGAAGTGTGTGCCGCAGAGGCTCACTCACGGGGCCGGAATGTTGGGACACCACACGGGCTTCAGCCCCCATGCCAGGCACAAACTCCAAAACAACTTGTTTCCTGTTACTCACTCCTGGGGCTCAGCCAGCACCCCAGCCCCGCTAACCCTGGTGGTGGTGGTGGCTCAACTCCTGGGGACCAGCCAGGACCCCCAGCCCCACTAAGCCTGGTGGTGGTAGCTCACCTCGAGGAATGAATGTCTCGGAGTCCGGGGAGTGGGTTGGGGATAGGAAAGGACCAGGAACAGGAAGGCCGAGGCAGCTAACTGCAGGGGAGCCCCCTAGAGGCAGTCTCCTGACTGGAGACACCGACTTTCACTCCCAGTTATTTGGGGGCCCAGAAATGGAAGGTGCCTCCCTGTGGGATCATACCTCAGCTTCCACCCAGCACTGACTCCCTCTGGGGGCTGAACTCTTTGCTGCTTTGTTCTCCCTCCTCAGGATCAGGATAAACACAAACCTCACCCCCTCTTGGGTGATGTCATTTGCCCACTTCCAGAATGGGGGACAGACTAGAGGACTCCAAGATCGCCCTAAAAGGAGAGGCATCCCCTACTAGTGAAGGGCAAGAGTCTGGTCTGTACCTGGGACCCCTCACTACTCATGGACATGGAGCCCTTTAAAGGCCCTGGGCTGGGTGCCAGGAGCTTGGGTCTAGGCAACATGTGACGGTCCACCATTCTTGGCCCTGCAGGGGGGAACTGCCTCCATGGCAGGCATCAGCCAGTCTTTGCACCCCACCCAGAAGGGCCAAGTCGCCCCCCCACCTTCACCTACCAGTTTTTTGGGTCTGCCCCTCGGTTTCCTCCCTGGAGTCGTGGTAGTTTTCTAGGTGGTCAGAGAAAAGATTCACTGAGTCAAAAATGTCCCTGCTGGTACTGGTGCTCATCCAATGATGGTTGAGGAACAGAGAGGGACAGAGCTGCCTACCTCTGCTCAGGGCAGCCCAGGAATCTCACCCTAATCAGCAGGCCCACCCAAGTTCAGCTGGTGATGACTGGCCACATTGCCCCCTCAATATACACACACGCCCCCAACTCCCTCCTCCACCCATGACTCAGAGGATATGAGTCGTGTCTTAGAAAAAATAAAAAACAAAACAACTCTGAAACCCCGATGCCACTGGGAATCTGGCCTCCCTGCTTATCCCCAGTCCCTTGGGATTCAGGAGACCCCAGGCCAGAAGGTAACATTCTCAGCCCAGGGGCTCTTTGCCCCTTCACTCTTTCCAATTCTCTTTTCTTCATACCAGGAATGCTGCAGGACTTCTGACTTGATTTCCCCCATTGTCCTGGGCAGGACCAAGGCCCCAGAAGTGAGATTTCAGTCATCACACTGCTTTCCCCAATTAGCAAAGACCCACTGCCTGACACCACATACCCGGGCAGAGGCAGCAGATGCGGAATAAGCCAGCCCTTTCCCACGCCGCCCTCTTCGTGAACTGCCCCCCACCCCCGCCAGTCTTACCCGGGTCTTGGCAGCGCCCTTGTTTTTGCTCCCCTTTGGTCTGCCCCGAGGTCTCTTAGGTGTTGGCACTTCGCTGGGCTCCTTCTGCAAAGACAAAGGAGGCAGTCAGACACAGATGCCACCTGTGCCACCCCCTTCAGAAGACAGGGCCCTCTGTCCCACCCCAACAGGGTTTAAGTCAGCCCGACCTTAAGTAAGCCATCACCCCGACCCAGGAATTCACAATGGCAGGGGCAAGTCCTCAGAATTTAGCTATGTTTGACTATTTTTTTTTTGCAAAGCCCTTCCCCTTGCTTCCCTGTGACAAGACCCCTGGGAAAGATGTCATGGGAGCAGACAGGTAGCCTTGCCCCAGTCCCAGCTTTGCCACTGATCAGCCCTAAGATCTTGGAGAAGACACTTAATGCCTGCGCCTCAGTGTCCTGATGTAAATAGTGACAAGACTTACCTTGCAGAGTGTCATGAAAATTAAATAAAGAGTTGTCTAACCCCAGGTCAAGGATCATTGCTCATCCTTTCAGGTAACAGAAGCTGGACACTTCCAAGAATTAAGAGTAGAAAAAATGCTTTCCCCTGGAGGGAGTCTCTAGCCTCTACCTGTAAACTGGCCCCCTCCAGGCTGCCTCCCAGAAGAGAAGAAACCCCACAGATCTCTGGCATTACTGCCACTAAAATTTTAATAAGCCCTACACAGAATAAAAAGCTGCTACATTATGCATAGAAGCTGGGCAGTAAAGGCACTTCAGGTACGGTTTCCCTTGGGCTGTTTCCAACCATGGACTAGTGACCCAGCTCCCCTTTCTGACCCTCGACCCTACCCCAGCTAACAGGCAGGTGGGGGCGGGGGGGTCCAGGGAATGCTGGAGTTCCCTCCACAGTGGGCTCTGAAAGAGGCAGCTGATGCCACCACGTGGCTCATGTCTCCTAAAGAGTCAGGACAGACCACTAACCACTCTTTCCACCTCAGTGATTGAGAAGCCAGGGGCTTCCGGTTACAGGGCAAGGACTGAACTCAGTCTCATCTCCTCTCCCCAGAAGGGGAAGTCACTGCTGCCCTCTCCATGTGAGAAGCCAAGACTGCCACCGCAGAACAAGCTCAGCCCCTGCAGCCTGATGGGCCACGCTTTCTGGGGTGCCCAGACTGCACGGCTGGCCTAACCCCGTGGTAAGACAGCACCAGCATTCCAAGGGTCACTCTACCACCAGCTCCCCAATATTTTCAACTTTTGGGGCTTCAGTTTCTCCCTTTTTAAAAACCCTCACCCAAGGATATATTCACAGATTTTGAAGAGAGGAGGGGAAAAAGAGAAGCATCAATGTGAGAGAGAAACATCTATCAGTTGCCTCCTGTACTCGCTTGGACCAGATATCGAACCCGAAACCTTTTGGTATATGGAATGATGCTCCCACCAGCTGAGCCACAACACCCAGCCAGGGCTCAGCTTCCAGTTACAGAGCCAGGAGCAAAGCCCAGTCCACGGCCACTGGTTGTGAGGCCCATGAACAGGTACCTGGTTCCTGGCCCAGGATGAGGAAATACAGAAACTGCCATAAAGTATCCAGAAACTTTTATATTAGTAAATCAACAGAGTAGTAAGTGTGATGACTCTTATGATTAAAAATCCTAGGCTTATATTTCTTTAGTTCACAGGCCAGGGCTCA